GTTGTGGGCCTCCTTTGGTCATCCAAGGAGCACTCTATGGAGAAGTGAAAGCATCTAAATGGACCAAAGAGTTCCAGTGTGAAGGGACAGAATCTTCTCTCCTGGGCTGTAGAAACAGAGGCCCAGTTAGAAACACCTGCTCACCTGGCAAAGCTGTTGGACTTACATGCTCAGGTAGAAGACGACCTGAACTACTTATTATCTAATATCCATTATTCTCATTTTCTAAATCAAACCTTAATGAAATGACAATTTACTGAGCATTGAAATTTTCTGTTCAGAACCTGTCAGATTGGTGGGAGGAGCCAGTCGTTGTGAAGGATTACTGGAGGTTAAACTGGGAACTTGGAGACCAGTGAATGCCTCAAACTGGACCATGAAGGAAGCAGCTTTAGCCTGCAGAGAGCTGGACTGTGGTTCTGTTGTTTCCATGGGAACCAGGAATAATACTTCTGTTAAACTTTTTTGGGAAATTAACCTCAACTTGTTTAAATCTGGATCTTCACTGAGGGAGTCTGCATCATCATCATCTAAGTTTTATTCAATTCTGGAGCTTGTATGCACAGGTAAGATATTCAATAAAAGAATTATATTTCTTTTATTGACTGTCTTTCCTAACTCCTGAAGGAGTCCAGAGTTACTCACCAGCTCTGATTTACTGGTCCAAGATGGCAGCCTTGGATATCACGGTGCTGACCTCTGACATCATCGTTTAATGCACCTCAATTCAAGTTAGAAATACTTTATTAGCCATCCAAAAGGACAAAAAGGATTGTTGTAACTCATATTATGGGGCCCTCTTCTATTTGGATTGTTTTGTTGAGTTTTATATCTTCTCAGATATAAAACCCCACTTAAATTTGATGCAATTGTGAATATGCTGGTGAGGATACTCAGTCATCCGTGTCATAGTCATTTCAAAACAGTAAAAAAATCAATCCACTGGACTTTGTTTCCAAGTTTGAATACATTTTGCTCCCCATCCAGGAAGCTTTCTCAATTCAAATTGTCTGGATTTGCATTGAGTTTGAGGCTTTATTGAGTGGACCAAAAACAAAGCCTTATTTATGCTTAGAAACATGCAAATTGCACCTGATGAGCAGGTCTGATCCTTTACAATAGGGGTCGTTTGGTTGTAAGTCTGTAATACCCGAAACCTTGTTATGATTCTGAAAGGGGGGTCGTTAAAGGGGATTGTTCACTTGGCTGGGAAGGGGAGGTGCTCTGTTTCCCTGCAATGGTCCCGTTCCCCATTCTAAAGGGGCGGACCTGCTTGTCAGGTTCAATTTGCATGTTTCTAAGCAAAATCAAGGCTTTGTTTTTGGTCCACTCTATAAAGCCTCAAACTCAATGCAAATCCAGACAATTTGAATTGAGAAAGCTTCCTGGATGGGGAGCGAGATGTCTTCAAACTTGGAGGCAAAGTCCAGTGGATTGTTTTTTTTACTTTTTTGGAAGAAAATTTTCATGGAGTATTTAAATTTAAATTGAAGTTCAACCCGTAATTAAACTTATAAACCAATTATCTTTCTGCTTTCAGACCTGCTAGTTCAGCCAACCATTTCAGTGTCCACCAAGGGTGGGGTCACGCGCACAATCCCCCAGGGTTTAGCAGGAGTGTTATTGGGCTCCAGCTTCACAATCATTTGCTCCATCCAGCCCCAGTATCCAGGAGGTTCCTTCCAGCTCTTCTTCACCTCAGCCAACACGACACAGAGCTACAGCCAACCACATATCAATCACTCAGCACACTTCCTGTTTCCTGAAGCAGGGCCCAACCACTTTGGAAACTACAGTTGTGTTTATAATGTTCATGTTTTCTTTCATAACTTCTCCTCTA